AACTGCCTAGGCTCCCACGAAACCAATAGGTCCAGTAGAATCAAAAACCCGTTGCCATTGTTCTTGAGGTCTCAGTAGTCCTCCTTGTCCGCTATGTTCAGCGAGACCAGTTTTGACCCAGGCTTTTTCAGACCCAGGCCAGCTGGCCTTGGTGAGTTCCCGATAGAACATCCCCATTGTCTCAGTGTATGGGTGCACCCCTCGCGGTCCTGAGTTCCTTGCTTGTGCTCTCTCTCCTTCTGCTCCTGATTTGGACCTTGAGATTTCAGTCCGGTGCTCCAATGTGGGTCTCTGTCTCTGTCTCCTTTCATCGCCTGATGAAGTTTAATATTCAGGAGGATGCCTATATGATTTTCTTTGGGTTCTCCTTCTTATTTAGCTTCTCTAAGAACCCGAATTATAGGTTCAATGTCCTTTATTTATGGCTAGAAACCAAATATGAGTGAGAACATCCCATGTTCCTCTTTTTGGGTCTGGCTTACCTCACTCAGGATGGTGTTTTCTATTTCCATCCATTTGCCTGCAAACTTCAAGAAGTCCTTGTTTTTTACTGCTGAGTAGTACTCTAATATGTATATATTCCATACTTTATTCATCCATTCTTCAATTGAAGGGCATCTAGGTTGTTTCCAGGTTCTGGCTATTACAAACAATGCTGCTATAAACATAGTAGAGCATATACTTTTGTTGTATGATAAGGCCTCTCTTGGGTATATTCCCAAGATGCTATATTAATCTTAAGATAGTGTTTACAATATATGTAAAGATGACTTTGTTTTTGTATTTGATAAGTAGCTCACCTTGTATTGCCATGAGTATGGCATGCCTTTCTATGTGTTGTGCCTTCTTCACTTTCTTCTATTAATTTTGTATAGTCACACTTTTCTGTAGAAATCCCCCTTTTCTAGAGAATAAAATCAGCCCCCAAGACATCTTGAGATATTGCCTAAAAGTGCCTTCAATGCATTTTTACTTTTTACTTTAATCCCAGCACTCGGGAGGAAGAGACAGGCAGATCTCAGTGAGTTCGAGGCCAGCCTAGTCTACAGAGTGCATTCCAGGACAAGCTCCAAAGCACCCTGTCTCAAAACAAACAAACAAACAAAAAAGAATCCAAACATCTTTTATTCTGAGATCCTTATGTCTGCACTAATTTAAGTATAAATAAAAATAAAAAAATTACCAATAAAATAGTGGAGCACTTTTAAAAAGTGTCTTATGTTTTGACATTTTATATTGTTTACCTCTTATGTTACTTTTCTCTCTACCATAGCAACAGGTAGACTTTTCTCTCTCTCCAATGCACTAGTTAAAGGCAAGGTAAACCTTGCTCTCTTCTGTCCGCATGGGTTTCCTGGTCATTACATTCCTTTCTGCAGTTCTCAAATGGCTCTATTTCCCTCCCAACTCGCCACTCTCTTCACTTTTTCCATTTTTGATGTCATGCAGATTGAATAACCATTCGTAACTTCATGTCCTCATCTCTTCTGTATGTTCCTATTGGCATTTGGATTTTTTTTGTGGGTCTGTGGTGGCTTTTTGATTACTTGTGATATTTTCACTGGGTAAATTCTTTCCAGAACTCTGGCTTGGGGTAGATCACTGCAGGATGCTTGACTTTGGGTTGTTCATTTACAGATGCTTTTGGATCAGCACTCTCTTCTGGAGTTTGCTCCAACATCTCAAGAGCAGGCCATCTCAGCTCAGAGCGGGGCTTTCTGCCCTGGCTTTGCGGTATATGATGTTGCTGAGTGTGTTTACAGCTTATTATAATCATGACTGTCCTCCTGAAATGTAGTCCAGCTTTTACTCTATTCAGTAACTCTTCTTCACTTATGGTGCTTTAACTTATAAACATCTAGATTACTAAAAGATGTTTTTATTGGTTTCTATCTTCCTCATTATTTTTCATGGATTTCGAAGAGAATCGAAAAACAGCCACTTTTACTCTTCGTTCCTGATGTGGGGGTGAAACAGTAACCCCTGAGTTTATCTCCTCTCTGTTCTCCTTAGGGCAGTCAAAAATAGAAACCAGAGCATGTGACTTTCAAACATTATTTTTTTTTTTGGTATTTATTTTGGAAAGTCAATTCCAGACAGTTGAAAATAGATTTATGGGCTCCATATGGAATGGCCCTAACTCCCCCAGCCATGGGTTTGCCATTTCTGTACATTGCAGCAGTACTGAGTTATTTATGTTTCTGATAGCGTCTATGAGATTTCAGTTCTGCCTGTTTTATGTACCTATCGCTTCTGTCTAGAATTTTTCTCTCACTTACTTAATGAGCTCTTATTGGTTCCCTAAAGCTGGGTCAAGATGCTTTTGACCTGAGTTTGTTTCATTCTTAGGGTCGTGACTCTCTGCATTGTTAACCTTTTACTTCTTACATTTTCTTTTATTGTTATACTTTTCACTATAGTGTAAGCATTTATTTTTCTGTATTATGGCACTATGTTATGAGCAAGTTTTTTATTCTTCACTAGATTATGACTTTTCCAATACTGTCCTTTGTTTCTTCATGACTTCATGAGGGACAAACATTTGGGGACATGATTCACTCGTTACATCGATGCATATTAAAAGACTTTAGCATGAATGATAACAATTTAGGTTTAAAGAAACAGAATAATAAATTTTAAGTATAGTCTTTGACTTCTTATTTTGGTTTTGCTGTAGTCTTTTTTTTTCCAATTCCCTGAATTTGAATGGAATAAGAATGTAAATAGTGCCAAGCAAGCAATAAAACACAGCCAAACCATATATATTCTGTAGATCATCATAACTACTAGTGATTAGGAAAATATGGCGAGGGAATCTACATCATTGAGTTAGTAAGTGTTAGGAACAGTTCATATCGTGAGGCAGCGTCTAGATCTGAGATTATGTACGTGGATGGAAACTGAGCAAGTTCAGGCCCATGGCTCTCGAGCATGGTGGGAGAGTGAGGAGAGAGGGTTCCTGTGTGTCTCAGCTGTCAGGGTTGGCTGTCAGAAAGACAATCCTTCCTTGGGATTCAGCCTCTAGGCTAAAAATAACTGCATATCCCGCTCATTGCGGGATGTTTCTTCTCTCCTGAGCTGAGTTCCGTGAAACCTTGTATGCCCATTTCCAGCCTAAACGGATGGCGTGCCTGTCTCTGAAGGATAATCTAGTGATGTTTGCACTGAAAGGTGAAATGCTGGGTGAGGGTTGAAATAGTCCATCTGTCTTCAGATTCCACAAGACCTGGGGTGTGGGAGACGTTCAGCCACAGAAATTCGACATGACTAATCCTTGCAAAACACTCTGAGACGGATAGTTCGTCCTCACCGCCTGGACGTACTTTAGAATGCATCCCCGTGGGACTTTGATGGAGCCATCTGGACTTTTTCAGATTTAGTATTAAGTGCTCTGCAGGAAGGCAGGAAAGACTGTGCCTTGGGGGCTCCCACCTGGGACACACAGGAGGCCATGGGCATGGATTTCTCTTTGTTCTCATTCTCTATCAGAAATAAATTGTAAATACATTTGTGCTTAGTTTTCATAAACAAAATCAGAAGTGAAGATGTTCCTTTGTTGCTGGCTCACTTCTCATGCCCCATGTAACTTTATTAGTGCATATTATTTCTAATATATGTGCTTTATAATCATCTTTTAATTCCATTTTACCTTCTATTCATCACACCCCCACTTATTTTTCCCCTACTAAACTAGATATGGGTATCCCTATTGTTGGATGTCTTGGGCATCTTTTGGCTTTGAGGGTGCTCATTCCAAAGCTCCCTTTCTCCTAGGTAGCTCTGAAGCCAACAATTCTTAAGATCAGTTGAAGGTAATAGAATCGATCATGTTTGAAGAGCTTTAAAATGTACTGGATTCTGAACATCAGCCTGATGGTACTGAAATCCATTCAATTCAACAAATGGGACGCAGAGTCCTGCTTTTTCTGAGTATGATGTGTTTCCACATTGCCAGGAGGTAATTACCTACAAGGACCAGTGTGTAGACAGCACAAAATCTGGGAAACTTTAAGAGGCACATAAATCAGCTCCAACAGGGGACGCTGGCTGTTTCTCGGGCTAGTGATTTGTCAATTTCTGCTCATCATTCATCTGGTTTATTTGCCTCTTGAACACATTTTTCCCCCCGCCAAGTCGTGGGACTCTCTCTTTCATGTGCAAAATTCTACTTGAAAAGGCCCATGAGGCTGAAGCGGGTGGGTTAGCGCTTTGCACTAATGGGTGTCTACATTTTCTTTCCATTACTACCGTGTGTGCAACTGTTGCTGTGTACTCACATAAAAAAGGTTATGTTGCTCATCAGTAGATCGAGGGAAGCAGCTGCGTCCTCCAGTTGTTTAACATTGCTTCAACAACTAGTCCATCCCTCCAATGCGTCTCTCTCCTGGCTCATGAGTATCAGTGATAGGTTACCTAACTACACTTGCCAACATCTTTACTTGCCATGGGTTGCCACCCTAATGACTGTGATGGGCCAGCTATGAAAAGTATACAGTATATTAGAGGAAGCATGTTTGTTGCAGTCCTGTGCCACCATGCCTAAGCTGCTGACATTATAGTAACCCATAATACTCAACCAATGGAGATAATATGAAAATTGTATGAACTAAAATATGCCTTTTAAAAGTACATTCATTACATCACCTGCTTAAGTTTCTCCTTAACTGACTCTTTTTTTAAGATTTATTTGTTATCTTTTATTTTATGTGCTTGAGTCTTTTGCCTGTGTGTATGTGTGTGCCATGTGTGTGCCTGGTACCCATGGAGGTCACAAGGTGTCAGATAATCTGGAACTATGTTTAAGGATGACTATGAGTCACCATATGGATCCTGGGTACCAAACCTAGGTCCTCTGCAGGAATAGCACGTGCTCTTTATCACTGAACCATCTCCCAGCCGCACCTTAACTGAATTTCACTGCAATTTCTGTAAAATTATTTATGTAATGTTATCATTATCATTCATAAAATACTTACTGTGTTTCTATTATCTTTTTTTAGGTCACCAGTCTCTTCAGAAGATCATGGTAAGAAGATGCCATTTTTATCCTAAATTATGCAGTCAAAATTTGTCCCTGGTCCTTATTCCTCACTGTCAGAGCAGAAAATTATTAAGAAACTCTCTAAGATGTTGACTCTGTAGTTTTCCTAGTGTGAAATGTCTAACATTTTAAAAAAATTTGATCCACAGAAACTGGGTTTGTTATTTGGTATTCTTTCCAAATCAGTTGTAACCATTTTGGAAATAATATATTTATTTAATATCTTCTGCCTGGTTCTGTTCAACCATCACAAATGTTGCATACATTTTTAGGTAAGCATGTATTTTCTATGAACGTGATTTTCACCTCTAAAATGAGGTGTTATAGGAGATATCTCCCAAGTCCTTTCCAGATGGTGAGGCCGCATCTCTGCACAGCCATTGGCAGATTGCTCTAAGTCTGAAATGAAGTTGCTTGGCCAGTGAGCGAGCTGGTACTCAGTCAGGGTGAATTGTTCTTATTTTAAGAGGCAGCCGCTTCACCCAAAGGACAAAACATCTAATTATGTCATCTCTAACCTTGCTCACTTATTCCAGCAGTCACTCAAAATTGTTTGTCGGGTGGCTGCAGTGGTTCATTGTATCGTAGAATGATACTTCACAAATATCGGTATTCAGGTTTTGCTGAGGGCTTGTTGATGTGGCTCTTTCTTGGACCTTTGAGATTATTCCATAAACATAACCCACACCTGTACATTACCACGTTCCGGTTTACTGAGTGTACATAGCATCCTTCACATATAGGATGGGCATTTTGCAACAGATCAAATATTGTGGTTGACTTTTTGATATTGTATTTTACCAAGGTCTGGTAGGCTCTCAGGATGGAATCTTCATCTCCCTCTACGGCTACTGTTTTAGCCTCCATCTTTTCCCATTCCCCTGTCAATAACCTGCATTCCAGGCATATGGCTCTCTCCAGTTTCTGGATCCCCTGCCTTTTTTTTTTAAAAAAAAATTATTTATTTTTTGCATCTCTTGCTTTCATTCTTGCTGTTCCCTCGAAGGAAATGGCTCTTCCTTTCTGTCACGTAGATGATTTTTGCTCACTTTTATTTTACCTTTAGTGAAAGCTTTCTGATTCACCGACTGTGACATATGTCTTTTTAAGCATGACACACAATTCTGATGCTTTTCTTAGCTAGCTCTTCAGACTGAATTTCTTTGATATTGTGTCCAACGAAAAGAAAACATTTAAAAAATGTATTTATTAAGTGAATGAATTAAGGAAATGGAGAGGGAGTTTCAGGCCACCTCTCCTGCTGCTACCTTATGAAATCTGTCCTAATATTGGAACAGTGTTGTGTCATGTTCTCTGAAGAACTGTAAGGAAAATTATGCTTGAGGCCCATTAAGTCCGAATTAGGTAATCAACCACCTAATGGTAAACCGTTATTGCATGCTATTTTGCTGATTGTTGCTGGTGTGAGTAGGATTTTGATTGTATATTTATAAGTCCTTCAGCTTCCATGTCCAAATGATAAATTAGAAATGTGTGTTTGTTTTTATTTTGAGCTATTTTTACCCTTAATAACCTCTGGCTGCTTTTGTCTTCTTGTCTGTAAGAGTACATCCTCTATTCGCAGGGGGCAGAGGATTCTAAGTTAAAGTTCTGCAATCCACTAGGACGTTTTTAGGGGTTAGGAGGGGTCTCAGAGCATATGTCAGCACCTTTGAAAGGTGGTCCCTGCCTAGATAACTTGCCCTTGGTATTTTAACAACGATTAAATGTGATTAGTTGAGGAACTATTATGCAAATTTAGATGAGTATAATATTTTGGTAAATTCAAAAATGCAATATATACTTATGCCTCTTAGTCTCCGGCACCTTCTAAAAACAGTTTAAACATGCGTGCTGATTTACCTAGGCTGCCTAATTGTTTATCATCGACTAGTCTGCGCGTCCTTAGGGAATATTTTACGTTTCTTTATCACTATGATTTTCTATCTAGCATACACTGTATGTTTCCTTACCTTTATATACTTTAGGAATTAATATTTTCTGTGGCTGTCATAAAACATCAGTGGCACACCGCCACTCTGGAATGACATTGCAGTGCACCCCTAAGAGGTGAATCACGTTTTTCCAGTTTATTCTAAAAGGACTGAGACACATTGGCAAATGGATTATGAAGCCAGACTATAAAAGCCTGTGCCTCTCAGTGCTCTCTTTTGTTCCCTTTCCACCCGCAATCCCATTTTCTTCAGTACCAGCTGCTCCCTTCAGCTATTTCTGAAACGAAATTCATTCTTGGAGAAATCTAACTTAGAAAGTCCTCTAGCTCTGCTGCTTCCCATCCTTCAGATTCTCTTCAGAGATCACCACTCTTTCTGTCTGATTCTGTTTGTCTGTGCATTGGGGCTCTTCGTATCTGATCTACGTGTCTTCTGCAGAAATGACCCTCCAGTGTGTCACAGGCACTCAAACACTGTGTTGTTATGTTCTTCCGTGCAGGCAGTGTGAGAGCAGATGTAGACTGGCTGATGTCTGCTCCACATAGCATGGAGGTTAGGTGTGTGGGCATGTGCACACAATCACAGCTACTCAGGAGACAGAGGCAGGAAAGTTACTATGTGGGGGCCAGCACAGGAAATTTAATGAGTTTTCTTATCAAGACAAAGAAAGAAAGAAACCAAAAAAAGCTTAAAAACATAATGGCCGTCAAACATAAATCTGCCTCTTTTGACTTTCTCTATAAACATCAACTTTTCACCGAAACCTTTATTTTTACATCAGTCTAAGAAAGAACAAAACGCTTAATACATAATTTGCCTTGTAGTCCTCAAGGAATGAATAGGTTCAGAATTGGGTGAGTGCTCATATAAGATTGCCGACACCAGGCACAGATAGCACATACGTTATTTTTATGTTCATAACACAGTATTAGGGTGTTTGAGAAGAGAAGATAAATGTATTGAGCACTTACTCAGAACTTTAACCGCATTATCCTGTTTCATTGTTAATAGGTAACAGCCTACAGGGCATGCGTCATCCTAACTTTATAGCCAGGGAAACAAGTCTTTAAATAACAGCCTTGATATCACACGGCTACTAAGTGGTAGAGTTAATTTAAACCCAGATTCAATATCCAAACTTTACTTTTTTTTTTAAACTTCAGCACATTGCTGGGAAAACAAAGAAATGATTGTCAGCATTAAGGTAAATTGAATGAATTATTGAGAGGGGAGGAAAGTTCCTTCTGCCTAACAAGAGTTTATTTACTGCTGTGTAAGTAATTTCTTTTTAATGACAAAGGAAAACTGAATAAAAAATAACAACTTCTCCCTCCTGCTGGGAATGATTTGTCCCGGGAGAAAAAGTGAAATACCGATGTCACATTTTCTCATAATTAGTTAGCTGAGTGAAACCGAGGCTTCGGGGAAGCCTGCCATGCGAGTCCCAGGGGGGGCATTAGGTTTTAATGCAACATCTGGAAGCTGGAATCCCACTCCATCAGAAGATAAGCTTGGCAGTGATGGATGGCCCTGTCCTCTGAGTTTCCCTCCATTTAGTGGTTCACACTTCATCATTCCATCGGCTGGAGTCACCTCCTCCAGCCCAGGCAGCTTCTCGAGCTCTGAGCTCTTGGGTTCTTTCTTGCTCCTTGCACGTTCATTTTCCAAGCGTCTCAGACTGCTGTTCCTTAGAGCTGCCACCTACGTGAGCATCCTGAAAGGCATTTTCTAGTAAATATCCCGTCATGGTGCAGAGTGGGAGAGAATCTTTGCCATCTATACATCTGGCAGAGGATTAATATCCAGAGTATATAAAGAGCTAAAAAGGTTGTCAAGGAATTGTTAAAAGAAAGAAAGAAATGACTCAGAGAACTCATAAAAAGAACAAAAAGAAAAGGTATACCATAAAAGGCTTCGCTAGACACTTAAAAGAACACCAGTAAGCTACTTGATTCTTCAACAGCCTCTGAGTGGTCACCCTGTTACAGTTACACACACACACACACACACACACACACACACACACACGCACCCACGCACGCACGCACGCACACACAGCCCCTGTAGTCTCACGTTTCTGTTGCCACAGTAAATACCTGACAAGAATGGCCGTGACCAATCTGGAAACTGTAATGACTGTGGTCACAAGCATCAAGTCTGTGGGTCAGACTTGGAGTTGACTATACCTTGTAGTACTGGCAATAAAACATATGAGTTATCAAAATAATTTTTTTCATTTTATTTTTTAAAACGATTTATTTTATTTTCCATACCAAACCGAGTTTCTTCTCACTCCCCTCCTTCAGCTCCATCCACCTTCCCCCACCGCACCCCCCATTCACTCATCAAAGAGGGTGAGTCCTCACATGGAAAGGGGCAATAGACCAGATCTCCTGAGTAAACTGAGAGTGTGGGGTGGAGGTTAGAAGGATCGTAGGGAGGGGAGAAGGATGGAGGGAGGAGAACATGAGATATCAAAATTTTGTTAACTTATTTTGGGTGGCTTTTGTTTTTGTTTTCAATTTTACATTTAGTGTGTGTGTGTGTGTGCGCGCGCACACACACACACACATACATGTACGTATCTGCATGCTTCAAGGTGCAAATGGAGGCCAGAGAACAATTGCAGGAGTCAGCTCTTCTCTGCTACTCTGGGGGTTGCAGGGATTGGACTCAGGTTGTCAGGCTGGACCACAGGTGTCTGCCTGCTGGCCCATCTCATCAGTTCTTAACTCACCTTTCTTTTCCTTGTGTGTGTGGTATTGTGAATGAAGACAGGGCCTCTATGCATCCCAGGCAAGTACCCAATCACAGACCATATTCCCTGCTCTGTTTCTAGGTCCTATTTCACCCAGGTTGGCCTTGAACTGACTCTGTAGCACAGGTAGGCATGGAACTGCGCCCTCCTATCTTGCCTCCTGAGCAACTGGGATTCCAAGAAAGTACAATTAGGCTTGATCCTTGCTCTAGCATGAATATAAAGATATGTTTGCATACCAAAATAGTTATTATGTATAAAATCTATCTACT